CGGCCATTATAAATCAGGCTTTAAGGAGATCCTAAACAGGAATTACCGACAATTGCAGATTGCCAATTTCTCCGAATTGGCCTTATTTATAAATTATAGCTTTAGGCTTAAAAACCTATCGTAGATCCGGGGTAAATTTCACCCCTACAACCGGCTTTTTACCAATCAGTTCTCGGTGTCAAGGCATTGGCTGCGTTCAGCAGAGAAAGCAGCTTTGCAACTGTTGTAAAATTCTTCAATACGATTGGTTCTTGCTTTTGGTTCCTGACAGATCTAAATGTATAAACCAATCATATTGAAGAATTTTACAACAGTTGCAAAGCTGCTTTCTCTGCTGAACGCAGCCATTGTTGTCGTATGAGGATCCGAGCTGATACATCAGCTGTTTCAAATAAATAAGTACCATCTGTCGAACTTGTCAAGTGTTGAAAACATTGTTTTTACATATAAATTGGAAAGAAAAACTCCATTAAAGTTACAACGTTCAATTGCATCGTGTAAACTTTTACGACATATTTTATAAATAAAATAATTATTAGCCGGTTTTGTGCTATAATATCACTGTGTTTGTTTAGTGCCGAGACGCTACTGTGTCTCTAGATTGTAAATAATATTTCCTCGCATGAATGATTTATAATTAAAAGACGTGAGTATACAATATTAATTAAATGAGACAATTAAATTGAATAAATTACGTAACATTCGCATTAACTCAGTATGATTAATTTTTACACGCTCCCGCAATAATAATTGCATTGTTGTCTAAAACTAAAGCTATAAAGAATTTATGATAGGTATAGTTATTAGGTATAGTACCTAATTAGGTATAGTAATGCGTGACATATTTACGTTTATTTAATATTTTTTGATAAAATTATCTGTAACCGGTAATATGAACTTTTGAGGTTATTGTTTATGTTTGGTTAAATTATTTAATTATTATTAAGTAATATAATTCAAATTATGATAAAAATTAATATATATCAATTTCAAATAAAAACTTTTGTGTTTATATCACCTGTGATGTTGCCTCATGTATTTTTATTTATTTTTTATTTCTTATATTATTTTATTGTGCTACCAGAATGGAAAAGACAATGGAAGAGACTAATTGCGAGCCTGCGTATCAAGGATACTTCATAGGTCATAGCGATGCAATTACTGCCTTAAATTTTCATCCAAATGCTGATCAACTTATATCAAGCAGTATGGACAAGACAGTAATGTTATGGCGATTGAAACATTTAAAGCCAGCTTACAAGTTTATAGCCCACAAAGAGGCTGTCTTGGACGTGTGCTATTCACCAAATGGAGAAGTTATGGCCAGTGGTTCAAAAGACAGATCTGTAAGAGTTTGGATTCCTAAAGTTAAAGGACATTCCTTTGACTTTAGGGCTCACAGTTCTGCAGTGAGATCAATACAGTTTAGTCCGAATGGAGAAAAGGTAATCTTAAATTCAATTATCTAATTATTAGCTATTTTGTTATAGATCTTGCCATAGACAGTTTATGTAATTATTTATCATAAACATTATAAGAATTTTAATCACAATCGTATGTATGAAAACATCAAATTCGATAAAGAACCCTATGAACGGTCAAAGTTAGATGTTTCGAATAATAAATCAATTTATTCCAGATGTGATTGCACGCCGATAATTTTTGGACTTTCAATACAATTCTGAAACGTTAATAAACCTCTTAAATAAAGAAAGAAATAAACTTGTTACAAAAAATATGACCTCAGCCAGGGTTCGAATCTGGGACCTCTTCATTTATGGATTATTAATGTTTCAGAATGATTGTGTTGAAAATCGAAAATTATCGGCGCGCAATCACATCTGGAATAAACTGATTTATTATTCAAAACATCTAACTTTGACCATTCATGGCGTTCTTTATCGTATTTGATGTTTATCATAATTTTTAGTTAGTTACTGCGTCGAATGACAAAAGTATAAAGCTATGGATACCATATCAAAAAAAATTCCTCAAGACATTTAGTGGACATACATATTGGGTAAGCTGCGCTAAATTTTCTCCGGATGGTAAACTTTTGGTATCGTGTAGCGACGACAAAACAATAAAAGTTTGGGACATTACCAGCGGACAGTGTGTCAAAACTTTTAATGAGATAAAAGGTTTGTTAAGTGCACCATAACTTTGTATCTTAGGAATCTAAAATAAAACTTTGCTATGTTAGCTCCCGCTAAATATGTGGAGTTTCATCCAAGCGGCACAACTATTGGATCAGCAAATACAGATGCGTGTGTCAAATTGTTCGATTTAAGAACAGATTCTTTATGTCAGCATTATGCTGTTCATACAGAACCTGTAAATATGATTAAATTCCATCCAAATGGTAAATTTATGTTAACAGCATCTGTGGATTCTACAATGAAGGTAGTTGAAGATTTTGATTTCATTTTGCGGTATCAATAAATTATTATCCTATTTGCTATTAACAAGAAACATCGACTAGATTTTAGATATCCTAGAAAGCCGTCCGATTTATACTCTCAGAGGACATTGTACTAGCATAACATCCATAACATTTTCAAAAGATGGTATGCTTTTTGCTTCTGGTGGCGTTGATAGACGAATTCTAATATGGAAGTGTAATATATGTGTGGATGGCCAAAGGAGAGAAATACCTACACAGTTAGTGCCGTCTACATCAAACAGATAACATGAACCTCTAGCAAACAAAAATTTGACAATGTCGGTGAAAAATTGAACAGCAGCGAACAAGTACAAGATATATATGACAAGCAGACTCAAGAGAAAGTAATAATTTAATATATGCAACTAATTTGTTCAAGTATAAAAGGCAGTAGTTATTTTATTTAGAAAAACACTGTTACATTATATATCAGGAACTATTAATTTTATAAAATATATATGTACATACATTTCAGTATTTATCATACAAATTAGAAAAATTACATCTAAAATCATACAGGAGCCAAGAACTATCAATGAAAGATGAAACTTAAATCGACATAGATATTGAACAAAGATGAAAGAAATTTTCGTACAAGTTCAATGCTGTAAATTATACAGGATGTCTCATATTTAAATGTCAAAACTTCATGAGCTTGTAGAGAATCAATAAATTAAGAGAAAAGTTTTCTAGAGATGTGCTCATTTTTTTTATTTTGGAAAAAAATTGTGAAGATATTTTTATTTTATATTTTTACTTATTTATTTACACTTTTATTTATTTATATTGTCATTTCCTTAATGAAGGCATTGTCCAAAATGTTGATTTCTTGTAGCAATGCAAGTATTGCAATAACAGCCCGTATTGCAACTAGAATAGATGACGTAACTTTTTCACTAAGATGAAAATATAAAAAGTGAAAATTTTATCATTGAAAGTAATGGAGAAATTTTTTATTTTTCGCCCTAGGAAGAAAGTTACATGATCGCTATCCCAATAGTGTTCTGGTGATTTTCCTGATTAAACAATACCTTCATTAAGGAAGTGACAACACGCATAAATAAGTAATAAATAATTAAGTAAAAATTAAAAACTTTTTGTTTTTTATTTTTTGCGATTTTCTCCAAAACGAAGCAAAAATGGGAAAATAAAAGACTTCTTTTTAGATTATCGATCCCCTACACGCTCCCAAAGTTTTAATACTTAAAAATTTGACACCTTATATGTACCCGAAAAAGACAGCGTATCTTGTGTTACATTAGTCCGATTTATATAATTTGTAATCAAATACATATATATCTTGTAATTTATAATGTGCATGCTGCTTAAGATAATGGACATTTTATTTTAAATTGTTTTAAATATATTATTTTTGTACTTTTATATATATATATATATAAATAATATATATACACGAGTAAGTGTAATTTTTTTATTAAAAAATGTATATATACATACATAAATATCTATATTACATGATATAATACCTATACATTAACAGCATCTGTTGCAATCATATGTCTCATAAATTGCTCATTTTCCTTAATGAATTCCTAAAGTTTTTTTGATCATTTCTAAAATCTCGAGCCAAACAAAGTGGTCACGAAGATTTTCTTTCCTAGTAACTCTATCTTGTAAAAAACACCTACATATCGCAGTAAATCATAACATTTTTTTTACTAAACTTATAGTTCTATCATCATAATATCTATAAATAGATAATTGGCGTCTAACTAGCTAATGATATAATCATACATTATCTGGAGATCTTAAAATAATTTTAAGTATAAGAATTTTAAGTCACGATATGAATATCATTTAATGGTTTCAAGTATTCGATGAATAACGAGCCTGACAATTCAACCGGAAATAATTAAAATGGGCCAATAGACTTTAAAAAGTAACGTTATTTAGTTACTTGAAAAAAAAGTATCCGTTTTTAGAACGCTTTTAACTTTCAAAAGGTTGTATTTGACCTACAGACAAGCTTTTAAATTTAATTAGAAAGTCGAGAGCGCGCGATTGAATGCAGCTAATTTATGAAGCAACTATCGTCGAAATTAAAAATAAATTCGTGTATGCATACAGTACAATTATACGTTGAAATATTTTGTGGTAGGAAACTATTCAGATCACTTCCAAAATTTATTTTCTTTGGAACTTCAATTGATCAGCGTAGTTATTGATATCTGATTAAAATACATACTTAAATCTACAGACTATTGTTTTGCTTGGAAAAATCGACTGTTATAATGTTTGGAATCATCAGTTATAATCGACAGTTATTATACGTTTGGACACATCGTATAAACCTTTTCGCTAAGATATTCTGTAAGTAAAATAATATCGTTATGAAGAATATATTCTCTCATGAATGATTTGTAATTAAGAGAGCACGTTAATTAAATAGCACAGTTAAATAGAATAAAGAGTACAATATTCACATATAACCAGCCAATATCGTTAATTTTTACATCCTCGCGGTAATTGCGTTGTTAATCTAAGATATCAAAGAATCATGAAGGTGTCTTCATGTTTAATATTTTTTTTAACACGAATTTTTAGGATTATTATGAATATTTAGGTTGAATTAATTCTTGTACATATATTTATATGTATAATATAATTCGGAAGTTACGATTATAAATTAAAATGTATTAATTTAAATTAAAACTTCATTATATGCTATGTATAATTTTGCTTTAAATTAGTTCTTCTTTTATTTTTGTAGATTCATTTCTTCTTTTATTTATTTCTTTATTATTGTAGATTATTTTACTGTGCTGCTAGGACAATGGAACAGACTGCCTCTAAAGGTATGAGCTCATACATACAGATGAAAGGTCTGCACGACAAGGACATTACAGCATTAAGCTTCCATCCGATACAAACTCATAGATTGATATCGAGTAGCCTGGATAAAACATTAGCATTGTGGAGCACAGATACGTTGAGTGGTAAAAAATTTAAAGCCCATGTATCCAGTGTATTAGACGCATGCTATTCACCAGATGGTGACCTTATAGCTACTACCTCTAAAGATCAGTCTATCCGAATTTGGGACCCTAAAGATCACAAAAATTTCACAGAATACAAAGGTCACTATTCTGCTGTGAGATCCATACAATTTAGTCCAAAGGGAGACAAGGTAATTTTTACGGTGTATTAATTAATAACCAATCAGATTCTTGTCATAGGCAATTTAATTATTTATGTATGTAATTATTTATATATATATATTGATATAATTATGCATCGATATATTTAGTTTGTTTCCGCGTCAAATGACAAAAAAGTAATGCTTTGGATACCATGTCGTGGAAAATTCTTCCAGACATTTAGTGGACATATAAATAGGGTAAGATGCGCTAAATTTTCTCCCGATGGAAAACTTTTAGTATCGTGTAGCGATGACAAAACAGTAAAACTATGGGACATTACCAGCGGACAATGTGTCAAAACTTTTACTAACATAAAAGGTTTGTCAAATGCATCATAATTTCATCTTTTAGGAACTTAAATTAACTTATAATTTTCCTATATTAGTTCTCGCTAGATACATAGAGTTTCATCCAACTGGTACAATTATTGCATCAGCAAACGAGGATGGGTGTATTAAATTGTATGATCTAAAAACAAATTCTTTGTATGAGCATTACTCTGTTCATGACGCAGGTGTAAATATGGTCAAATTCCATCCAAATGGAAACTTGATGTTAACAGCGTCTGATGATTATACAACGAAGGTACTTTTAATTGCAACTGTAATTTCATATAATGGTTGCAATAAATTATTACCAAATTGTTATCTGCTGGTAACAAACAATATCGGTTAGATTGTAGATTTTTTAAACGGGCGGCCAATTTATTCTCTCAGGGAACATTATGATAAGGTAACATGTGTAGCATTTTCAAATGATGGTAAGCTTTTGGCTTCTGGTAGCACGGATCGACAAATCCTAGTATGGAAGTGTGATGATTTATGTGTGGATGGTCAAAGTAGAGAGAGTTCTACATTGCAGTTAACGTCTTCTACAACAACTAATAGGAGCTTGATAATGCCGAGCTCTGTCAAACAAGAATTTGATGATGAAGATGAAAAATCAAACACTCACTATGAGGATGAAAAATCGAAAAGGAGCGAAAAAGAAGATGAAGAAGATGCAAATGAAAATCAAGAAAACGTAATATAACTTAATATATATAAATATGCTTTATTAAACTACAGAAAATAGTGGTTGCAATGTATTAAGAAAACGTAATGAGTTGCTAAGTTATATCAAGAATTGTTAGTTTCATAATATACATTGCAAGAAAGGAAAGAAAGCCTTTAACGATCAAGTTGGATCTTAAGTACTTAACTAATTATCTGTGAATTTATATACTACCTATATACGTAGTCATTTAAATTGCGCGCCGAATTAATTTTTCGATCTTGATAGAAACCAATTGAATTACAGTAGTAATATTACGAATTAAATTATTTAACAATTTAGTATTTTGAAAAATTATTTCAGCACGCAATTTAAATGACTACATATATAGGTAGTATATAAATTCACAGATAATTAGTTAAGTACTTAAGATCCAACTTGACCGTTAAAGGCTTTCTTTCTTTTCTTGCAATGATATATATTATGAAATTAACAATTCTTGATATAACTTAGCAACTCATTACGTTTTTTTAACACATTGCAGCCACTATGTTCTGTAGTTATGTAGGTACATAAATTTACATATAATTATTTAAGTACTTAAGATCCAGTTTGAAAGGCTTTCTTTCCTTTCTTGTTGTGTTCACATGTACGGTCCTAAAATCTCTGTTTAATATATCATTGCAGTATTTATCAACCACATTCAAAAAATTGCACTCAGAATCAGACGACAGTGAAAGCATTTTATCAGCAAAAATCGTGGAACATAAAAACGTAAACATAACGAACGTTGAATCTTCTCAAGAAGATTATGCAAAATACGTGCCCATATTCCAAAAAAAAAAACAGCCCCACAGCTCGAAACAGTCCCAAGCGGTCTTAAAAAAATGTCAGACATTGTTTAACAGACGTTCATCTAATCAGTCTATTGAAACACCAGCAGATCCAGTTGTAAAGCAAATACAATCATTACGTCATAATTATGATGTATTAGAACAACGCTTGACAATATTAGAAAAGGAATTTAAGAAACTAAATCATTAATTTCTTCAGCTTATATTCATTAATTACTCTGAACAATATGTACGGGCTGGGCATGTATATGAAATACTTTCATTTAAAACACGGTTTTTGCATTATAAGTGTATTTTGTACGTTTTATTTTTTTAAAATTTTATTTGTTTAAAGTGTACAATTTTCGAAAAATTGTAAGTTTCTTGTACTTTGTAATTCAAATAATGACATT